GGCCTTGAGCTTAAATCCATCCTCCTGCCTTTGTCTTCCAAGTATCAAAATCACAGATGTGTATCGCCATACCTGACTTCAATGAAATAAAAAAAGTAAACAAAAACTATGAATGAGCTCCTGAAGTGGGATGTCTCACGGTCAGAGGCATTGTTTCTACTTGTCAGAGTAAGTCGTGGCTTCTACCACGTTTGTCTGTGTGTCGAACATCTGGCAGATGAGTTCCTCCACATAGAAAGCAGAACCTAGACAGAGCCAAGCAGCTGGAGGCTCATGCACAGGAGGGGGCCCCAGGGGCACCCTGAGATTTGCTGCTGTCACCTTAGAGGCCACCAGCATGAAGCGGGCTTCTAAACATCACTTTAAGCCAAAAACTACAGAAAGAGTCAAGCTGGCTGGCCAGAGAGAACTCAGATGAGGAGGGGCCGCCCTGGGGCCTCTGGCAGAGAGCTCCCAAAAAAGAAAAGTGGGGAGGGGTCCCAAAAGGGACTGCCAGCACAGGACCCGGCTGGTGTCTCTGGAGGCTTGGTGCTCACCCACTCCTAGCTGGGTCCTGCGCCCCAGCTGCCTGAAGCCTCCAGCCAGTGGCTAAGATGGGTATGGGGACAGGGCACACTGCCCGCTAGCTGGCAGCTCTCCCAGCAGCTGCGGAACGGCTTCACAGAGGAATGAGCCCCCTGTCAGCACCTCGTCCAGCTGTCCCTAGGCACCCCAGCCCAGCAGTCCCCACTGTCTCAGGACTATTGTCCCTGACGTGCAATCGCAGCTGTCTCTGGCTCCCCGAGAACCCAGCTTTGGCTGAATATAATCGTGTACCCTTCATTTACCCCAATTTTTCATGTCTTGAAGTCTGCTTGTGGAAGAGGGCAGGTTCCACATCTGTTGCCTTTGCCTAGAAGAGTGGTCAGTTGGACTGGTCCCTCCCACACACACCCCCGCCACTGTCCACTGGCCAAAACCCGTCCGAGACCGGCAGGTGCGGCAGTGAGCAGGTGCCATGCCATTTGCTGGCTGGTCTGAAGCTGTGACTCAGCGGCTGTTCTCTTGGCTACTGTACCTCCTCTGCTGCACCCTCAGCTCCCCCTGCACCCCAGGGGGATGAGGCCTTGAGTACCAGCAGCAGCTGTGACTTCAAGGTAGAATGGCAGTAAGCTGTCTGGGGTAGGGCCCCGCAGCAGAACACGGCTGTGAGCTGTGCTCCAAACTGGAAGAATTCTTGGAAAGCCCCAGCCCAGAGGTCAGAACCCGGGGGGGGGGGGGTATGAGCTGGACTCTGCCCACAGAGCTGAACTGTCACTGTATCAGCCACTAATGCTGCATAACAAACAGCCCAAACCACAGTGTATGGCCTAGTGGGATCTAACTGAAACCTCCCTCACCACATTTAAGGGAACAGATGCAAGTCAAACAGCAGAAAGCCATTTAGTGGTGTGTTTAATTTGCCCCAGGCACTGATAGGTATCTGGAACCTTCAATCATGGCAAAAAAGGTTTTGGGCTGTCAGGTTATTTTGTTACATTTTTATTCTAAGTCATTTGCTTTACTGCTTATTCAGGAAACAGGGTTCTGCTTGGTAAAGTTGAAACTGTGGGCACCATGGATGGGCAGGAAACCTTGCTGGATCTGAGAATTGGCGCTTGGCAGGGCGAACAGAGAAACCAAGTAGCCCGTGAGTTTCTGAGTGAGTCCCCGCCAACACCTGCTCTATCTAGGCCCTCATGACTCATTTCTGGGGAACTAATACTCAGGTGATGGGGAAAGGCTAAGATCAGGGTGGCTAAGATCAGGGTGGTGTGGGGTCCCCAGGATGAGCACCAGGCACGGGGCTGGAGATCCAGGTGTCTAGTGTCAGAATGAGCCTTTCAAGTCCAGCTTAACCCATGCTGACACTCTGTCACCAGACTTCACCATCCCAGTCACAGATGCCTGCACCTGTGTGGAGGACTTCACGGCGTTTGCCTCCACCCAGGAAAAGCAGCTTGAGCACCATGAGGACCCTACTGAGGTTGGCTTTGGCTTCAAAAGCACCAATTGCCTTGTGCCAAGGAGGAAGTGCCAAGACCCTCTGGATACTGTTGGGAGTCAGCTCCACCCAGGACCCTGATAGGGTGAAGGAAGGAATCCAGCTTGAAATTCAGGGACCCAGGAGTCCCAGAGGAAATGGGGCAAAGCAGTGGAAACAATGGCTTTTCCCAACACATCTCTGGCCTCTGCATAGACCTGTCTGACACACTGAAGCAGATATATGGTCTCCACTGCATGGGTTAAAATACAGACCCTTTCCAGAATCCTTTCAAACTGAGCCCAGCAGAGTGTCTGAAGGAGCATCAAATGCCAAAGATGCTGCTGGGCTGGAGGGAGCGTTCTCACCCTTCCCCGGAGCCAGAGGCATGCAGCAGACTCGGCATAGCATGGCATGACACAGGAGCAGGCAGCAGGCGTGGTGTGGCAGGAACACTGCCGCTGTAGGTCTGAGGGATGGACCATGGGGCAGCAGAGAGGGTACAAACTGACCTCAGCAGCTCCCCTATAGATGACAGGTCTACTGAGGGACTAGCTGTGACCCCAACTGCAATTTCCACTGCAGCCAGCTCTGACAGCATCCCTGAGACCACTGAACGAAGAAGGGATAGGAGGCCAGGTGCTTGACCCAGTGCCCTGAGCATGTTACTGGGAGAGCAGCCTTCTAGAGTGACAAGTGGATCCACTGAGCCCCTCTCCTGCCCCTGGGCACACAGTGAGCAGGGCGACAGTCCACAGGAGTCCTGCTCTGAGTTCACCCTTCACTGCCTGCACATTTTGTTTCTTCTCGGCCAGTATCAGAAATAAAAAATCTCCATGGCCGGCGGGGATGCCCTGCCAGCTGTCTTATGTACAGCTCTGGGTGCAGGGGCAGAAGGAGAAGCAGGCCAGGGCTGAGGACACACAAGCCAAGCTGAGGTTTACAGACCTACTCAATAGCCCTTCCCCAGACTGTTGAGGGATTGGTCCAGGAATGGGCACTTGGAGCAAGTTTAGCCAATAAGATCCTTCCTCTAGAACTGCAAAATCCACACAATAATGGGGAAGTTCGGGGCTGGGGCAAGGTCATGCAGACTGGGGCAAAACTTGGACCAGCCATGAAAGAGGGTGGGGGCAGGAAAAGTTAAGAGAAGGAGGAACTGGTCCACACCTGAACAAGGTCCAGTGGCCCACAGGTAAATTGAGAGGCAGTATCTACAGTTTCCGTTCAAGTTTTAAAGAACTGTCGGTTTCTGCATTATCAGATCAAGGACTAGGAAGCAGTTTCCTACTGTTTGGTCCTAAGGAGGCGCTGGTCACAGCTTCATGTCTGTTCAGGGTCTGTCTAGTGGCCAAGGATGTGAACCAGTCAGTCTGAGAAGAGTCTAAAGACCTGGAGGATGTACTGGTTTTTCAAGATGACCCAACAACGGCCTGGCATGGGCCTGGAGCACCACCTGTGTGCCCATGACTTGTATTGGCCTCAATTCTGAACACAGCCTAGAAGAGCTCAGGGTACCACTTGTGTGCCAATGTACTGGGCAGGGCTGGGTCAGCTCCTGGCAGCCCATAGAGGCCTATAGCTGCATAACTAACAGGGCTGACTACCAGTCCTCTGGGGGTCACTAGAGACCCCAGTGAGAGGAAGGTTCAAACTGTGGGTGGAGCCAGGATGAGCTCCACCTCCTTTCTTCCAAGGGACCAAGCAGTCTAGGGATCTGAGAATAAGTATATTATGGCCCCACGGGTGGGGACCAGGAAGAAGCTGCACTGAGAGCCTGGGGTACCCAATGAGAACTCAGTTTTATACTTTCTCAGCAAAGTTGAAGCCTGAGAGCATGGGTCCATGGAGGCACAGGGGGTTGGGACCTGAGACTTTGGGGGTCAGCCCTGAGAAGAACACAGGGTGGGCCTGGTCTCCATCCTCAGCTAGGCCAAGTAGACTTCTTTTGCTGGTATGGATGGCACTATAACAGTGCACTAGACAGCGGGGGGTCTTTACGCCTTCTAGACACTTCGTTCCCAAAAGGTGGGACCCTAAATGTAAGGATCCCCAATGGAGAGGACAGCCACCGTAGGTGTATAGGGAAGGGTCTTTCTCTCGGCAGGGGCCAGTCAGAATAAAGGAAGAGTTTAGCAAACAATGGCAGCCAGTTCTCCACCCACTCAACACACACACACACACACACACACACACACACACACACCACGAAGCACAACTAGAATAAAGTCGCAACTAAAGTAGCTTCTCTTCCTTGGGGGTCCCCTCAGCAGGTGCCAGGGACTTGAACTTCCTTCTTCCAAGCAGGAACTGTAGGTGCCCCAAGGCCACAATTGCACAGCACTGGCCCTTTCCAGAAGTGAGACTGCGGGTCTGCTGGCAAAACCTGAGGCTGGGATCCCAGACCTGGAGGTTAGAGCACCTCAGCTCCAGGTACACAGACTACCCAAATGGTCTCTTCTGGAAAAAGAAGCTCCCCCAGGTGATAACGGCAGGAGCCATGGTTTTTCCCTGCTGCCACATCCACTGGTTTGGAAGACAGGCAGCCTCGTTTAGGGTTACCTGGCTCTCAAGAGTCACAGCTTAGGGTGGCAGGTACGTCGCCTCCATAGAGTTTGGCGAAAGAATTCTAGCTGCCCTTGGAGACCTCCGGGCCGGGAGCCAACTCGCGGGGGCGACCTCGGGCGCGGCTCGGACTGGTGGCTTGGCGCTGGCCTTGGGAGAAACGTCCCCTTTCCAACCCTGAGCACTCTCCTTCTCTCCAGGCGCTGAGGCGAAGTGGCCCAGCGTGGCCTCCGCCTCCGCCAGACCACCCAGGCCCGCCCGCCAGGACCTCCGCGCCCCTGCCGCAGGTCATACCCGGAAGGACCCGGGCCCCCGCCTCCGGCCCGGCCTTCCGCCAACCGCCCTAGGGACACAGCAGCCGCGACCTGCGCAGCCCCGCCCAGCGCCCCCGTCCTCCCACCTTTGTCCGGCCCCGGGGGGTCCTCCAGCTCACCTAGGTGCTCGAGTTACCAGGGTCACGTGGTGGCTACTGTCATTGCGCCACCCGGCGGGCAGAACCCAGATTTGTTTGAAATAGCGGATTCCCAGTGGAGGGAGGGATGTTGGGCTCAGGAACCTGTGGATTAGCGTCCTCGCCAGCCGCCCGAAAGTCGAGCCACGCTGCAGAGAATCGGACGCCCGGACGCTGGGCAGTGTGTCACCCTTAGCCCTCTGACCCTGCCTCAGTCGAGGGATCAGGCTGCGGGGCGCCTGGCCCACGTGGTGCGGAGGGCGGGGCGGGGTCCTCATCCTTGGATTTGGGGCGGGGCACCCAAGCTCCTCCTCGAGGAGGGCTTGCCTGCCAACCCGGGCCGGGAGGGGCGGGGCTTCGGCCACCGCTTAAAGAAACTTGTTGCGGGTCCCAGAACTGAGACTGAGCTGCAGCGACGGAGGAGCGGCAGCTGGGCGTCTGCGACGGGGACAAACATTGATTCCTGCAACCTTGGATTCCAGAGTGTCCGTCCATAGTGTGACAGGGCGCGACCACTGTGTCCATCCCCACTGCGTACTCCTCCGCGCGTGGCCCCGATGCTGGACATGAGTGAGGCCCGCGCCCAGCCGCCCTGCAGCCCGTCCGGCACTGCTAGCTCCATGTCACACGTGGAGGATTCAGATTCCGACGCGCCACCGTCGCCTGAGGGATCCGAGGGCCTGGGCCGTGCTGGGGGCGGCGGCCGAGGGGACACGGCTGAGGCTGCAGACGAACGCTTCCCTGCCTGCATCCGTGATGCAGTGTCACAGGTGCTTAAGGGCTATGACTGGAGTCTAGTGCCTATGCCCGTGCGCGGCGGCGGTAGCGGCACGCTCAAGGCCAAGCCACACGTGAAACGGCCCATGAACGCCTTCATGGTGTGGGCTCAGGCGGCGCGCCGCAAGCTGGCGGACCAGTACCCGCATCTCCACAACGCAGAGCTCAGCAAGACCCTGGGCAAGCTGTGGCGGTGAGTGTGGGGACTCATGACACTCTGGCTGAGGAAGGGGACATAGGGGCTGAAGGAGGTGGCGTCGTGCCCTAGTTTGGGCAGTGCTCCAGGGCTGGTTCCAGGGTGGGTCTGGTGGAAAAATACCTTGGTCAACAGAGACCGGACACCAGGTGTGGGTGGGACCTTGGAGATGCACGGAGGCCAGTACCCGGAGTGTCACCATCCAGCACTTTATCCCTTCCCGGGGTATCCTGATGAGAACTACAGACCTGGGAATCCCAGCTTCGATTGGCCCACCATGGCCCGTAGGCATAGATAGGGACAGGCATCAAGCTGCTTTGTCCTGGGCATAAGCTGGGACTCAGGATAGCCATGAGGAGTCCAAGTCTGCTGGCTGGTACTGTCCCCAGGTACTATTTCTCTCAGGCCACACCAACCTGGAATGGAGGGAGGGAAAAAGAGTGGGTGAAAAGTGAGAAAGGCTCAGTGGGCACGCTGGCATGAGAGAGGCAGGCATTACTAAAGAAGACAGGAGCACAGAAGTTCCTCCGCACCGCACATCCCAAACCTTCTTCTGCTTGATTCCCAAATCTCCCAGCTGCTTCTGCTTGATTCGAAACAGGTTCTTCTTAGTAACACTGGGCTGAGCAGGATGGTGAGGTTGCCTTGCCCCAACTCAGCTCTGCCCGCAGGCAGAGGCAGAAGGCCGGGAGTCTTAGGGTGTGTGCACAGAGGACAGTCTCCTGGATTTTGCCTTCACTGTTGGAAGCTTGAGGTCGAAAGGGCAGCAAAGCCAGCTAGCTGCCTTGAGTCACAGCTGGCTCCCAGGAAGCCTTGCCTTTGTCAAAGTGTAGTTTCCACTGTGGCTGAGAGAGGGTATGGGATGGACGAGAAAATACGGTTGGAAAGGGGGCGCTCCAGAAAGATGGAGAATTGGGGTCTTGCTTGTTCCTTGGACTCTAAAGAACATACAGTCTTCACCACACAGGCCTAGTGGGCTCTGCCCTGGTGCAGGATGCTCAGCATAAGGGCAGGCTACCCGCTGGAGGGTGCCTTGGCCTCTCCAGCACCCGATCGTGTGCTCCTGCTGTCTGACTCCAGGCCAGCTCCCACAGTAGTGTGTGCGCTGGTGCTGCCTGGGCCCTTGGCAGCCCTGCAGCTCTGGGGACATCCTCGCCCTACTGTGTTCTCTGCAGCTTGCTGAGTGAAAGCGAGAAGCGTCCTTTCGTGGAGGAGGCCGAGAGGCTCCGTGTCCAACACAAGAAAGACCACCCAGATTACAAATACCAGCCACGGCGGAGGAAGAGTGTGAAGGCTGGCCGGAGCGACTCGGACTCTGGCACGGAACTGGGCCACCACCCTGGTGGTCCCATGTACAAAGCCGATGCAGTCCTCGGCGACACACACCACCACAGCGACCACACAGGTAGGCTCTGGGACCCTTAGCATGGGGTAGGTAATAGTGGGACTGACCTGAAGTGTAGGAAGGCCTTCCCTCATTATGGGCAGTGGGCCAGATTTTCCCTAGCCCCCCGAAAAAGCCTCTGGATATAGCTATTTCTGATGCTCTAAAGGAGGGGGCTGAGTAGCCCATCAGCACTCTGGAGATGTGTATCTTCAATAGGACTCCTCGCAGTCTGCCTCCACTCTTCAATGATAGTAGCATGGGACAACAACCCCAGCTTCAGAATCAGGCTGGTGGGTGGGGTCCCAGCAACCAAGCAGCCTTAGTGAAGCTGGAGGCAGGCCCGAGCTTCTCTTTACTCCGCTGTGATGGGGAAGAGCGGGGTTGTGTGGGTTCACCTTGGTCCTGTGCCCAGGGCCAGGTATTCCAAGAGTGTCCCATTAATGCTAGTTCTGGTGGGGCTGGCTGGCCACCTTCCATCCCCCACCCAGGTCTTCAGGGAGGGGCCTTGGGTCTTCCCACAGCATAGTGCTTAACGGAATTTTCTCAGCCAGTAAGTGAGGGCTAGGTCTGAGTTTGCCGGAATTTCTGGGAAGGTAAGGAAACAAAAAGCTGTTGATTCGTACCTGTGGCAGTTACCAGGGTTCCTGGTGTCACCCACCAGCTCCACCCTGGACCCACAGAAGGGGCATTCATCCTTGAAATATACTCTCTTCCTCAGGCCAGACCCATGGGCCGCCCACCCCACCCACCACCCCCAAGACAGATCTGCATCAGGCCGGCAGTGGAGGCAAGCAAGAGCTAAGGCTGGAAGGGCGCCGCCTAGTGGACAGCGGCCGCCAGAACATCGACTTCAGCAATGTGGACATCTCCGAGCTCAGCAGCGAGGTTATCAGTACCATGGATACCTTCGATGTCCACGAGTTTGACCAGTACTTGCCCCTCAATGGCCACTCAACCCTGCCCACAGAGCCCAGCCAGGCCACTGCCTCTGGCTCCTATGGGGGCACTTCCTACTCCCACTCCGGGGCAACTGGCATAGGGGCATCCCCTGTGTGGGCCCACAAGGGAGCTCCCTCGGCGTCAGCCTCGCCCACAGAGGCAGGACCCCTTCGGCCACATATCAAGACCGAGCAGCTGAGTCCCACCCACTACAATGACCAGTCCCATGGCTCACCTGGCCATGCTGACTATGGTTCCTACAGTGCCCAGGCCAGTGTCACCACAGCTGCCTCTGCCACGGCTGCCAGCTCCTTCGCCAGTGCACAGTGTGACTACACTGACCTGCAGGCATCCAACTACTACAGCCCCTACCCTGGCTACCCCCCCAGCCTCTACCAATACCCTTACTTTCACTCATCCCGCCGGCCCTATGCCTCACCACTGCTCAATGGGCTCACCATGCCACCCGCACACAGCCCCAGCAGCAACTGGGACCAACCCGTGTACACCACCCTGACCCGACCCTGAGGCGGCTGCACCCCGGAGGACTCAGTGTCCACGAAGTATAGCCAGGTCTTTGAGGTCTTCCAGAAATGTACTCGGTAGAGGGTGGAGGCAGCCAGCGCAGCCTCGCTCCGTCAAGTGCCTGCTGAATCTGCAGGAAGCCAGGCTTTGTCACTCTGTGTCCCTTTGCCTCTGGATATCCAAACTTCTGCCAGGGGACAGAGCTCTCTTTTCCTCCTCTTCTCTCTCTGAGGTAACTGGTTATTTCCAAGACAGCCATTATGATGAGTGGGTACCAGCGCCTTGGTTTTGCATCTCAGTGAAAGAGAAGATAGCTATGGCTAAGGACAAAGGAGAGACAGGACCTCGGGTTCTTACCAGCCCAGCCAAGAACTCCCTGGAACCAAGGGATGTTGTTCCCATGGTGAAAGCACACCCGTGGACCCTCGGGATACATCCACTTGGGCATCTCTTGGGACCGATGTGAGATGGAGGGGTTTCTCATTACCACAGTTCTTCCCAGCAAGGTTTGGCTGAGACAAACACTTCTTGTGTTTATTTTATTTTTTTGTAATTTTTATTTTAAGGCTTAAACATGTCTGTTTTGAAAGCTGTTGAAGATGTATTTATGTTCTGTATTATTTTATCTTTAATTAATGAAGTCATTTGTGCAGAGAGTAGAATTTAAGACAGAATGGAAGCTTGTTTTGTGAAGGACAGGAGGGAAGTGGTTCAGCACCCCATCACATCTCTTTCCCTGGCCTTCAGATGGCCCGGGAGGCCTCTACCAGGCACGGGAGGAAATGATTACCTCTTGGGGTCTGGTTAGAACAAAACGCCCAGCACCAGCATCAGGTTGGGCATCGGAAGACAGGAATGTCAGTTCTGCCCTCAGTGGTGCCAAGCGGTAGAAGACAGAATTTCCTGCAAGTTGGCAGCTGCAGAACCACGATAATCTTGGCTCTTTGGCACCAGGCGCTACTTACCAAGCTGTGAAGGGAAAGCCCCCTCCACTAACCTGCCCAGGTTCCTAGTTAGAAAACACCACCTGCTTCACCGCCCCGCTTCGCTGTGTGCTGTGTGTAACTGGCTACTTCACAGAAACTTGTGCCTTGGAGACTTTGTACATTTACTCACATCTGAGAAGTTTGCTTCTTTTACATTTTTCTACTTTTCCTACCTTTTTTTTTTAGAGGAAAAAACTGTCTTTTTTTTTCTTTTAGCATATCTCATTCTGGGGGAGGGGGTGGGACCCACAGCAAACTCATTTTTATGCAATCTATTTTTTTTGGCATTAAATTCAGAAAGATATTTGCTGACCTTCGCCTGCTGTGTTTCGCTACTTTCTGACCAAGCAATGCTAACTTTTGTACAGATCAATTTGATAAAATTTTAAAAAGTGC